GGCTGCTAACTGACCAGAGCTTTTTGAGGCTTTTGGTTGCTTTAAAGGCATTCTCGTGCATCAAAATATAGACCGAGTAGTGAAAAAACAGTTCAATTATATATTCAGAAAGCAAGGATATGTAGTTAGAGTTGAAGACGGCTTATTTCTTTAAATTGTAAAGTTGGTGTGGAGGAGCTCAGCAAAACACGTCTACTTCATGCAATCCTCTATAGCGCCCCCCCCCGCATGGATCCTGTTGACCAATGATGACCGCACAGTTGTCTTCAATACACCAACGGACGTGAATAAGTACATCAAGAAACTGGAGACAGTGACAGAGCATGACTAAATTAAATGTGACTTGATGAAAACCTTTATTTAACTAAAAATTTCGTCAGATGTGGCTGGTATGGTATGTAGGGCCTAAACTTGCTGGAAACATGACATTGTACTTCTTACAGACTCGATTGTCTTAAAATACTAATATAATGTTTTAAAAAAGTCATGTTTAAATATATATTTTATTTCGTTTTTTCTTTTGGCTTCTTCTTAAAGTGCAATAGGCGCTTCTTACGTGAGTGATGAAAAATACCTGCATATATGACACAATATACTTTCAGTTGATAGATAAAATCTCTTATCTGGATTAGTTTTTCTACATAGACAAGTAATTGAGCTGAGTTTTGGTTTACAGGAGAATAGTTCCTCAGTATAGTGTGGACCTATTCCTGATAATGGAGGGAAGTTTTTTAGGGGTTTGGGGGAGCCTGTATGTTCTAGTGAGTCAGGCTAGTGTTCTGGGTGGGTTGCTCTCTTTCTTTTCGTTTAGGTTTTTGTTTCTTATGGTACCTTTTTATAGGCTTTATCGTTATTCTTGCATTAAGAAAATGTATCTTTCTCTTTGTTAAATATGACAGAAAAAATGACAGACGTTTTGATTGAATGTGTATCTTGGAATTGTAGAGGCCTACGTAAACTAACTAAAATAAAACAAGTAATGGATAGAATAAAAAAGATAAAAGCTAAAATTGTGTTCCTGCAGGAAACTCACATGTTAGATCATGAGATAATCAAAAATTAAGCGTAGATGGCCAGGTCAGGTATTGTCTTCAGCTTACTACTCGAACTCCAGAGGAGTTATAATTATGATACATAAGTCTATTCCTTTGCGCATTGATGAAATTACTAAAGACCCCAAAGGTAGATTTTTGATTGTACAGGGAAATATTCTATCAACTCGGATTATTCTGATTAATGTATATAGACCTATCGAGGATAACGCAGATTTTTATAATGATTTATTTTTGAGAATCTCCATATTGCCCGGAAAACACATTATGGCAGGTGATTTCAATTGTGTCTTGCAGCCCAGTAAGGACCGGTCATCTCGGGTTGATAACACCCATGTAAGGTCTAGAAAAGCTTTACAATACTTTATAAAGGAACTTAACCTGGTGGATATATGGAGGGCTCAAAACCCAACAAAAAGAGAATATTCATGTTGGTCGAGTACTTCTAAAGGATACTCAAGAATAGATTATTTTCCGATTTCAGCTGAACTAATTTCATGTATCAGAAATTGTCAATATAGTAGTATTCTTATCTCAGATCATGCCCTTGTATCTTTGACATATGTCGAACCAAAGCTTTCTCATAATTGTACTAAACGGAGATTTCAAATACACTGGATGCAAGACAAAGGATTTCTAGAATTTGTAGGGGAACATATTGATGATTATTTTGAACATAACAATACCCAAACATCAGCTATAATCAGATAGGAAGCCTTTAAAGCCTTTATACGAGGACAAATTATAAGCTATACGAGCAGGAAGTCAAAAGAGAAACAGGAGAAATATAAAACACTTGAAATAAAAATTCGCTTACTCGAGGAAAAAAGTCTACAAGCAGACCAAAATGAAAAAACACATGAAAAAGCAGCGGCCAATTTATTAAAATTAAAGCAGCAATTTTACGATCAGGGAGAAAAACCAGGCAGACTTCTTGCTTGGCATATGAAACAACAGGAGTTAGAAAGAGCAATTACTAGTATTGAAGATGAAAATGGAAACATGACTGTAGATCCATTGGAAATTAATAAAACATTTCGAAACTAACGTAATTAATTGCTCTGAATGTAAGGCCACGACTGATGCCCCTCACGTTTCTTGATAATCTCAACATTCCTAAAATATCTGAAGAACTTAAAATTAAATTAGATGGTGATATTACGACAAATGAAAATATGGAGGCTATACAAACATTAAAAGGTGGTAAAACAGCAGGACCTGATGGCCTGCCCATCGACTTATATAAACATTTCAGTGATTAAAATGGTTAAGGCACTCTATGATATGTATATAGAATGTTATATTAGTGTCTGTCTTCCTAACTCTATGAGAGAGGCTTTGATCATTCTTTTACCAAAACCAGGAAAACCGAATACAAAGTGTGGAAATATGAGACCTATTAGTCTCATAAACACAGATACAAAAATAATATGTAAAATCTTGGCAAAAAGACTAGAGACTGTACTTCCGGGCATTGTGGGTGATAATCAGAACGGGTTCATTAAGAATAGGCAGGGATTTCACGTAAGACGTGTTTTAAGTATTGTACATAGCCAAAAAGAGGAAAAGGATACTACTCTTCTCTTGCTCGACGTGGAGAAGGCTTTCGATAGGATCGAATGGGCTTATCTTTTTGACGTTCTCATAAATTCGGATTTGGAAATTCCTTTTTACATTGGATTAAATCATTACATTCCAACCCAATGGCTGAAGTTTTAACCAATGAGATGATTTCTGAGCCATTTAATATTACAAGAGGTTGCCCCCAAGGCTCACCATTGTCCCCACTTTTATTCATCTTGGCTATAGAACCACTAGCAATAGCCGTAAGAGCTAACAACCATATACAAGGGATTAAAATGGGTGGCAAGGAACATAAAATAGCTTTATTCGCTGATGACGGTGTTATTTCTAAAACAATTAAACACCTCTCTCCAAGCACTTTTAGACCTGATCAAACAATTCGGAAACATATCGGGATATAAAGTGAATACATCAAAGTCATCATTATTGCTGCTTGATAAAGATAGCTGTCCAAATACATCACATTTATTTACCTTGAAAATATCACCCAGCTTTACATATTTGGGTATCAAAATTGTCCCACAATTAGAAAATATAATTTCTACAAATTATAATGTTATAATGGAATCAACATCTAAAGATCTGGAGAGATGGTTATCTTCACCAATTTCATTGATAGGAAGAATAAATATATTGAAGATGAATATTTTGCCTAAATTCATGTATTTATTCCAAAATATCCCCTTGGCGCCACCAGCTGGAGTGTTCTTAAAGATTAATTCATTATTCAGAAAATTTATTTGGAACAACAAATGCCCTCGAGTTCGTCTTTCTCTTCTTTATCTTCCATTTGACACTGGAGGGTTAAAATGTCCCAACCTGTACTGGTACTATTTAGCTGCACAATTAAGAACAATAATGTTTTATTTTTCCTCCGGAAATAAACCATCCTGGGTGGATATGGAGTCATGTGATTTTGCGTTACCCTTAAATTTGTATATATATTCAGATCATTTTAAACAACTAAAAACAGTCACCACGCACCCTATAGTTTGTAACATGATTGGAGTATGGTATGAAGTTAGAGAGTACATGAAAATAGCTGACTCTTTATCCCAGTATAGCCCCATTTGGGGCAACGCATTATTCAAACCAGCCAGGTACAAAGGACTCAGGATTCCGGTTGTGGGTTGAAAAGGAATTAAGCAAAATTAGTGATCTATTAGAGGAGGGAACGTTGATGTTGTTTGAGCAATTATCTATTAAGTACAATATTCCAAAAGAGCATTTCTTTAAATACTTACAGATAAGGAGTTTTGTTCTTTCTAGGCAGAACACATCAATAAACTTGCCAGTATTTTCCATTTTGGAAAAATTAATTACCAAGAATTGCAATAATAAAGGGTTAATATCAGTTTTTAACAACTGGCTTGTATCAGGGTCTACTGAATCATCAACAACAAAACTTGTAATTTGGAAGATGGGATTGAATGAGGATATATCTGAGGATAAATGGAGACAAGTCTGTAAAAATTCTCAGAAACAGTTAGGGAGCGTTAGCTTAAAACTACTTCAATATACCTGGTTGATGCAGACTTATTTAACTCCTGTCAAACTAAATAGGTTTAATAAAAATATTCCTGATACATGCTTTAAATGCAGAGAGGCTCAGGGTTCATGTGTGCATTGTGTTTGGGAATGCAACATTATTAGAGACTTTTGGGTGGAAGTGATTAATATTACAAAGATAATTGTACCCTTGAATATTCCACTAGATGCAAAAATGATTTTGCTACATTTATACCCAAAGAACCTTAAACTAAATCTTCAGCAGCACAAATTAATAGATTATGCTATACTACAAGCTAAAAGAATGATCGCTGGAAAAGACCTGATCCACCATCTACTGGAACTTGGATTAATGCCATGGCACTGTGTATGGCCATTGAAAAAGTAACATATTTTATTAAAAACCAAATGGATGAATATGAAGAAATTTGGAAGCCGTTTAATTACTACATTAATAACAATAATATTGGTCATTTATTACAAGAAGTGTAACTAAGTATAGTGTTTTTATTTATTTATTTATTTTTGTGTGTGTGTTTCATTTTGTTTTGTTGGATAACGTAACTTTTATGTGTAAAGTACAGTAATGTATACTTGGTTTTTGGGTACCAAACTATATTTGTTTTGCATTTAAATTGTCTCTTGTAAGAGAATTCTGTGTATTTGTATAGGGGAGAAGAGAGTGATGTTCTTTTGTTGGGGTGGGAAATAATTGCGACGAAATGGAATTGTGTTTTTCTGTTACCTGTCTTGTGTAATCAAAAACAATAAACACATTGTTCAATAAAGAACGGCAGAGTCACTCGCTGTTTTCAAGAAACAACTAAAAACTCAACTATTTAGTCTCCACTTCACTTCCTAATCTGCAATTGCCTCTCTGGATATACCACTAACTGTACTCAAAAAAAAAAACAAAAAAAAATTTACTAATGCTTTCCTTCTTAGACTTTACAGACCTGAAACTTGCCTATAGCACTTATTCATTGTTCCTCTTGTAGTTGTGTAAATTGCTTCCTTGTCCTCATTTGTAAGTCGCTTTGGATAAAAGTGTCTGCTAAATGATAAATGTAAATGTAAATGTTGAAATTATAAAGTATCTGCGCTCTGAATGATTTTGAGATATTAAGCTTCAAAGTTTTTGCATTCCATAAAGCAAACAGTATGTGTGTAACATTTGTTTTTTAAATAAAAAGTGTTAATGTAAACAACATAAAAAGCATCCCATAATATAAATAAGTTGTCATTTAATAGGAATATGTCAATAACTCAATTTTGACAAAAATGTCAGCTAGAACCTTATAATTCTAAGGTGACGAATTGGTGAAGTTTGTTCCTCACCACTGTTGCCACTGGCTTGCTTGGTTTGGGACTTGAGGAGCTGCGCATCGATGGATTTGCTTTTCAGTGTTTGGACTTTCAGCAGTGAAAATTAAACCACACTGAATTGAACTAAAGCGCACTTCAACTGAAAACTGGACTGACATGGTTTCAATTTCAACTTACTCAAACTTCTATGTTAAGCTGCTTTGACACAATCTAACCTATAAAAGCACTACAGAAAAAAAGATGAATTGAATTGAATAGACTGTGCTGTATGAATTAGAGAAATGATCCTCAATTACCTTTAAATTACACATCGCATCCATTCCACCGACAGATTACACATAAAAGGCCACAAATCATACCTGAACCCTCACTACATCTTTTGTTTTGACATTCTCAATATACTTCTTGGATTTGTAACGAATATCTTACTCATAGTTGTCTTTCCTGGCATTGTGTTTACATTTTTTTAAGTATATTTTACTGTTTCTTAATAATAATGATAATAGTTGTCTATAGGTAGAAAGATATTGTGTTAGAATCACATGTCAAAAGATTGTTAATGCAAGCACTTGTCAATTCAATGCCTTTTTTCAGTTTTGCTATTCAACAAGCTTTTTCTGAGGCAGACCATGACAGGGACTGTTGTTTATTGTTTACGACGATACATTGTAAATGAATAAATCAATAAAAATGACCCCAAAACAGTCTAAGCGGAGTAATACTTAAAGAATATTTATAAAAAAACACGAGGCCCTGAGACGCTGTTCGAAATATTCCAAAAGTGACGTCACTCAATAGAACATAAACGCTCGCATAACTTACATTTCTTACATCAGTTCAGTGATCATCCAAGCTACTGTAAGGATCATTATTTGGACGTGTTAACAGATTTTCACCAAATCTAATGGATAACGAACATCTGTCGACTTATTTTACGAGCGAACACATGAGTGAACTCGAAGACTTTCTGAGTGAAGCGACACAGCCTGTGGTTGTCCACGCGATGGCAGCAACAGTACCTGTGTTTGGTGAAGGAGTGAACGGAGAGGTGGCTCCAGTGCTGGAAAACATGGACTTCTGCAGAAACCTCTGTTCTTGGATGGACGAGGAATGTACTGCGGCGTCTGATGCCAGTACGACACTCGATGAGCCCTTCTCTGTTAATGTGGAGAAAACAACCGGTGAGCCTGTCAGCAAACACTCAAGTTGTCTATGGTTTAAAATAATGATAAAAACTGGGGAAAGAAAAGCTATTAGTAAATTTAAATAATGTATAAATGACAAAAGAGACGTTACATAACCCCAACCCAAAAAAATAAAAATAATAATAATAATGGGGTTTTAACAGAACATTTGTGTTTGAGGTAAATTGCCCTAAAGGGAGACTTGGGCCTAGTCAAAGCGTTAAATGCCCAGCGTTCACACACGCACTATATTCTTCGGTTTAGTCCCGAATTCATCCGCCTTTCTAGCCACAACTAAATACTCTTATTCAAACCCCCCATAAACACACACACAGACACTCAAGACTAATTTAAAAAAACCCACAATATATTTCCAATTAAAACTGAAAAAGATGTTCAAACTGGACTTTTTCCTGCATATAAAACTGCGAGGTGGCCACCTCCACCAAATTTTGTACCACCTGTCCCTTTAGACAAAAAACAAGGCAGACAGACCCTAAATGATGCTCAAGCATGTTTTTTTTTTTAATAATGAAATGTCATGCATTTAATTGAATCAAATGTTAGCCATTTTAAATAGTTTACTTGATAAGATTACAAGAGTTATGCAAAATGTGTTTATTTCAATAACAAATGTATTACACACACAAAAATACACTACCAGTCAAAAGTTTAGGCTCAGTAGGATTTTTAAAGGTTTTAAAATGAGCTTATCCCGCTGACCGAAGCTGCATTAATCAAAAATACAGTGCAAATTGTGAACTGTTATTGCCTGTAATATAATGGTTCAATAAAAGTTTATTGTTTAATTTAATCATTTACTTCTGTGATTTTAAAGATGAATTGTCAGCTTCATTACTGCAGTCTTCAGAGTCACACAATCCTTCAGAAATTACTCTAATATTAATTATTATTATTAATGTAATAGTAATGAAATCAATAATGACTGGAGTAATATTTTCATTTGAAACTACATACGATAAGAGAGCAGTTATTTAAAATTGTTATAAATATTTATCGATTTAACATTTTTTTTACATTTATTAAATGCCATCTTGATGAACAGAATCATTTTCTTAAAAAACAACAACAAAAGCAAATAAAACTTTTGACTGGTAGTGTGTATATACATAATGTGTTCTGCATGTGCTAAGTTTTTAGGAATAGTCAAAATTAAATTATTGATTTTCTTTATTATCCCAACAATCATCAGAATGTTAAGATCAAGTTTCTTGAAAAAAAAGGCCTAAAGTGAGTTTACAGTATACAACATACTTTGTAGAAATTATGTGAATTCAACTGCATAAGCCAAAATAAACAACGCTAATTAAAAGGATAAGAGTTGCCTCTCTATACAACAAAAATGATTTATTTTATTTGACAGTTTTGCATTTATGAGGAAAGAGCTTCGTTATGGATGTGACGTGTGAAATTGACACTTTGGAACTTTGGTAAATCAAATATAATAGTTTGAAAACATTGACAGACATTTTTTAAGTATGTTTAAAGTACTGTTAAATACTTGCTCACACAAACAAACATACAAACACTGTTTTACTGTTTTGGTGAAAACTGACATTTGCATGGAATTGCTCATGGGGAGACTCAACAAATGGTAATAATGAACGTTTACAAAGTGATGTAATACTTTCGAAAATCATAAAAATCTAGAGACTGATGTGAACAGCATGATTTGTATATCAAATTCAGTTTAATGTGTGATATGACTAAAAAGGGGTCATAGAAACATATTTTTCATGACTTAACAAGCAGATTTTTTCACTTGGCCTGGCCAATTTTAAAAAAATGTTTATTTAAATTTTCGTATAGAAACATGAATATTTTCTTATATATGTCTATACATTTACTTATTGTCATGGTTCAAATATTCTCTTTTATTTTCTTTTTTTCTTTGTTCAACTAAGAAGTTCAAACAGGAGGCAGCAGGAGGAGAAGAATCCATGCTTTCTTCAAGAGAGTGTGGAAGGCCATAAAGAAGCCGTTCCTCTGCTATAGACGGAGAAGAGTGGGGACTCAAATACCACAGGGGGATCCACACACAAACGATGTAGAGATTGATTTGGATCCAGAGCCTGTGCCTAGAACTTCTGGGCTCCAGAATACTGTTGATCTGAATCCAGGTCCAAAACCTGTCCTTGCAACGTCTGGGTGCAAGAATACTGTTGATCTGAATCCAGATCCAGAACTTGTCCTTGGAACGTCTGGGTGCAAGAATACTGTTGATCTGAATCCAGATCCAGAACCTGTCCTTGGAACGTCTGGGTGCAAGAATACTGTTGATCTGAATCCAGATCCAGAACTTGTCCTTGGAACGTCTGGGTGCAAGACTACTGTTGATCTGAATCCAGATCCAGAACTTGTCCTTGGAACGTCTGGGTGCAAGACTACTGTTGATCTGAATCCAGATCCAGAACTTGTCCTTGGAACGTCTGGGTGCAAGAATACTGTTGATCTGAATCCAGATCCAGAACCTGCTCCTGGAATGTTTGGGCGGCAGTTTACTGTTGATCCGGTTCCAGATCTAGAACCTGCCCCTAGAGCATCTGGGTTGCAGTTTACTGTTAATCCGGTTCCAGATCCAGAATCTGCCCCTAGAGCGCCTGGGAGGCAGTTTACTGTTGATTTGGTTCCAGATCCAGAATTTGCCCCTAGAGCGCCTGGGAGGCAGTTTACTGTTGATTTGGTTCCAGATCCAGAGCCTGTCCCTAGAGCATCTGGGTGCCAGAATTCAGTTGATCCGGTTCCAAATCCAGGGTATGAGCTTAGAAACTGCAAGAGCCAGTTTGCTATTGATATAGATTCAGATCCAGATTCAGATCCAGATTCAGAGCCTGTCCCTGGACCATCTGGGCTCCAGGACACAGCTAATGGGGAATCATCATCTGCCACAGGACCAAATAGAGGTGAGTCTGATTTCAGGACTCGGAAGTCATGTACAAGACATAAACACAAAGTGTCAAATTCAATTTTGAGACAAACAGAACTATTATAAATGCTACTGTAATATATTTGATCATTCAAGGTATCAGTGTGAGAGAATTGAAAACACTTAACCTCTTCTTTTTTTTTTCAGTATTTATGAAGAGTCTCTACAGATTGGGAGATATTCTGGGAACTGGAAGCTTCGGCGTAACCTACAAAGCAATCCGCAAATCTGATGGCAAGGAGGTAAAACTCTTTGTGTACAATTAGCTTCTTATGTAACTTGTACCCTTAATCCAAGCCTGTCAATAATATGTAAAAAACTAATACTTGGATATTTGCTTTGCAGGTTGCCATCAAGAGGATCCGCAAGAGACACGGTGACCATTACATATCAGTAGTAAGTTTGCAAAACTTCACTCAATATTTCATTCTTTATTGGTTTGGACACTATTACTGTTGCATAGTTGAATTTTAAAAGGCAAAATCCAGTCATTTCTGAAATAATATGTTCAAGCCTAATAAAATAATGTTTAGGGCTTAGGTCTCAAACTCAATTCCTGGAGAGCCGCAGCTCTGCTTAGTTTTGCTCCAACCCTGAAAAAATATAGCTGATCCTAATAATCGAGGTGTTCAAAAGAGTCTTGAACACCTTTATTAGTGGAATCAGCTGTGTTTGATCAGGGTTGGAGCAAAACTATGCAGAGCCGGTGCGACCCTCCAGGAATCAAGTTTGAGACCTATGCTTTAGATGAAATCTGAGAGCTCCCCCATCCTCCATAGACACCAATGGTCCAGGAGCATTCAAAGACAAGAAAAGGAGCCAAAAACATTGTCAAAACAAATTTTTCCCTCCTGTACCAGGTCAGGGTGCACATTTTCTACAGGCAGTTTGATTTACTGTCAGAGTCAGCGAGACGCAAGTGTCTTATTACCGGTAGTAAATGCACACCCTGACCTGATGTGGAAGAATTGGTCAAACAAAGTTTTTTACAGTTTCATAAGTGTTCTTGGAGCTTCGTATGATTACACTTGAAACTGACTTTGAGTGCCTAAGGAACGCTACTGTCTGTGGAGGATAAGGGAGCTCTCAGATTTAATCTAAAATATCTTCATTGAGAATATCTTCTCTAGGGGTTGAAATAACATGAAGGAAAGTCTAGTTGAACTTATCCATTAAATAATGGCGATCTTTCTTCACATCTACAGCTAGTAACCCTTGTTCTCTTTTTCTTTTTAGCCTGGTTATTCCAAACCAGTACTAAGAGAAGTGGCGTTTATGCTCATGCTGAAAGATCCTTCCAAGAGCATATACCTGATAGAAATGTTTGAGTGGTTTGATCAAGAAGGGTTCATTTCACTTGTTTTGGAATACCCCAAACCTTGTACATCCCTGCGGATCTTTGTAAAGCGACGTCACACGCTGAAGGAACCAATTGCACGCTGCTTGCTGCACCAGTTAATCCTGGGAATCCAGCACTCCCTTGACCATGGAATTTCTCACAATGACTTGCATGCTGAAAACATCCTGGTGAACACAAACACATTGGAGCTCAAGGTGATTGACTTCGGCTGTGCTAGCAAATACGAGGATGAAGAACAAAGGATCATCGTCTTGGGGAACATCTGGAGCGTCGGCCACCTGCTGTATTTTATGGTGAACGGAAAAGTGCCAGTGTACTCCAGAGATGAATGGCAACCACGCCTTTTATTTAAACCCAAGATATCCAGCGGTGAGTAAACAGACACTGATAAATTTAAATGCCTACTAAGTCACTGGTAGTGTGAGTGAGGCATCAATGTCCACAACAGAATCAAACTGTGGCCCTAATGTCACCATATATATTAACTCAGGAAGGGGCAATTTGAGGGCCATCGTCCTGCAGAGTTTACCTCCAAACTCTTATCTTGAAGAATCCAAGTTATCTTGAAGTCACACTCCATTGCTTACATTAGTCTACTCAAAGGAGTTAATGTAAATGAATGAGGGAATTAAATACACTTCAAAACCTCCACCATGGTTTCGGACATTACTAAAAAAGGCTACTCCCTCAAATAGTTTACTTGGTGATTTGAGATATAGCCACTGATTAGCTTGGAGTGTTTGAAGAAAACTCTGCAAGACACCGGCCTTCCAGGACTTTACACTAGCTTGTTTTACTCATAAATGTCAGAAGATATCTTCATTAATGTCAGCTTTGGTATAGTGTTGACTAACCATCTCTCTTTCTCCTCATACAGAGTGCTGTGATCTGATTGAAAAGTGTCTGAATCACAATTTGGAGACACTGGAGGAGGTCATGCAGCACGAGTGGATGAAGAAGGTGTGAATGAAGACCAGATGAAGGTAAATACAACTGATCCCTTAGGAAACATACTACTCTAGAGGCTGCACGATTTTTTGCGATATATATTGCAATATGACTACAATTCCATCAGATGACTTGATCAATTTTAACGATTAGGGTGATTCTGCAGTGGGAGTACATCTCCATAAAATCTAATAAACGCTCTATAATTGGGGTCCGCCGACACATTTTTGATGTGGTCTGATATTTGCAGTGCATTTCTCTATTTGCATGTGTTGTGAGTATTTTCAAGCATAACAATCTATAACTAAAATCAAGAAAAAGATAGAGTTAGTGGTATATTATTTTCCGAGTTTAACAGTATTCGAGCAGAGTAACGGAATATTAAAAATAATTTAATCAAATGAATTGTTGTTAAAGTTAGAAAAGGTACAATTTATTACGCCTGAATGCTTTTAAGGTCATAATACAGTCACAGGCATCAGAAGTGCATGCAAATGATCAATTATAATACAAACTTAACATTGCGTATGCTCGCGATTTGACTATTACGAACGCTGAAACGGTCTTATTCAGATTAAGGCAAATCATTTGATTATTAATGTCCATGTAAATGTAGGCAATGTTAGAATATTGCTATTAGAAAACCCTTATACAAATATAATGTAACTAAAAATCAAGTCAATGTGACAATGAAAACATTTGAGACGAGAACATTTCAGGATAACTGTACATACACACATACAGTATATAAAGGTGCTTTACTAAAGTAATCGCCACATATAACCACTTCACAACAACTTGCATCTTTGAGATGAATCTTCTTGTTGCATTACCTGTTTTATCAGCTGATTGTTGGAGCTTTAAGAGGCTGTTCATAGACAAGATTAGTTCAATCTTAGTGTGAAATATACAAATTCTGGACATGTCTAACATCTTTTTTCTTCTTTTGTTTTCCTCAGTGAAGACCAAAGCAGCAAAATCATCCTCATCTTTACCAGGAAACTGCCGCTATTGTTCAGGCAGATTTGAAATGTATAGAAATGTATAAGAATAAACTGTTGTATGAAGTCATTATTTGTATTTTATATGAACACAAATATCTTATCATAGCTTAATAATATACTGATTACACCTTCGGTGGTTCTGTTTGAATATTGTAAAATGTATGAAAATATTAGTGAAACATCTTTCTCCTCAGTGTTAGTATATTGCGCACGTTCATGAGCACTGTGCAGTGATGTATAGCTCCTTCCAGATGCCTACACCCGACTTCCTCTGTATAAAAAAACTAGCACAAGCACATCTGAGGTATACGTAAGCAACGTGACATGCAAAGAAAGAGCACAGCGCTCGAGACCATGCCCCCTATACTGACACTGAGGAAATAAATGTGGATAGTCGTTATTCTTGTTTTAGTCATATGGTCTGTTTTGAGGAGGTTTTTGGTTCTTTTTCTTTTAGATCTTATAAATTTGATACAATTGTTTTTGATACAAATGTGAAGTTTCACAAACTAATTTGGAGAGGAGCATGTGATATGATTGACCGCAGCTGGTCCCTATCGCTAATCATTAGCTAGCCAATCGGATTATTCTAACTTTAACATAAATATCCAGCCTAATTTCATTCCCCATCTTCATTTTGGAAGACCCCCCATCATCCATCCTTTCTCCCTCCGCCTCAATTCTAGGATTGGGCAACACGGTGGCTTAGTGGCTAGCACTGCTGCTTCACAGCAAGAAGGTCGCTGGTTCAAGTCCTAGCAGAGCCAGTTGGCACTTTCTGTGTGGAGTTTACATGTTCTCCCCGTGTTCGCGTGGGTTTTCCCCGGGTACTCCGGTTTCCTCCCACACTCTAAAGACATGTGACACAAGTGAATTAAATAATAGCACCAGGCACAAGCACTTAATGCAAGAGCATTATCTAAGTGTGAACTCATGAATCATTTATTTATTTATTTATTTATTTATTTATTTATTCATGTACTGCATTTTATTGTGGAAACCAAAGAATTGTATTGTACAAGAAGACTTCTGCTGTGAATGTGCCCTTGACACTGTGGAACTGAATTGTTGAATGAAGTCATTATTTGTATTTTATGTGCACACAGATGTCTTATTTTAGCTTAATAATATACAGATTACGCCTTCAATGGTTCTGTATAAATATTGTAAAATGTATGAAAATATTTGTGAAATTTGTTTCTTCTCCTCAGTGTTAGTACATTTTGTACTTAGGGTTAATCATGAACAGTGTGCAGTGACTCCAGATGCCCACACGTGACTTCCTCAGAAAGCACAGCAATCATGAACGTGCCCCCTATACTGACACTGAGGAAATGAACTTGGATTGTCATTATTTTTGAGTCATATTCTCCGTTTTGAGGAGATTTTTGGTTATTTTTAAAAAAATTTTATGAATTTTTGATACAATTTGTATTTTTGATTGTTTTTTATGCGCTATTGCACTATTTATTTGTTTATTCATTCATGTACAGCATTTTAAAATGTTGTTGAGATGATGTTTTGAGTTTGCATTTTAAATAAAAAAATATATATAATAAAGTGACTGCTGTTCTATTTATTCAGTTATTTATAAGGAATTAATGTAGTATCTTTTTAAAATTGCGACAAGGTTGTTAAAAACAGACATAAACCAATTTAACACAAAAAAAGTATAATGCTTGAAAAGAGATATATTTATTGATTAAAACTATTTCACCAGACAAATATTAATAAGTGGATTGTCAAATGTGCAGTCTGGTGCTACAAGTTCCCTGCACAGATTTAGGTTGTGTTTCAGCTCACATGATGTATGATTCTGCTGACTGCATATTTATTGCCAATAAAATCTTCCAGGTAATGTATCTCACACAACAAAATGGCAGGAATAATTTTAATAATAGTAATAGTAACAATTAAACTGCATTAAAAGGTGATAAGAAAGCAAACCAAGTAGCCTAATATTAATAACCTCTCAATCGTAAAGCCACATACTCACACCTGCAGCTTCTCCATGATGGACGTCCAGTGTTCTTCAGCCCCTGGCACCTAGACTGCAGTTCTGCACAAGAAGTTTGGCCTGAGGAGAAATGGTCCAACTGAGCCTGTTTTTTTTCCTTCACTTTCGTCAATTCATCACCTTGGAATTATAAAGTATCTGCGCTCTGAATGATTTTGAGATATTAAGCTTCAAAGTTTTTGCATTCCATAAAGCAAACAGTATGTGTGTAACATTTGTTTTTTTAAATAAAAAGTGTTAATGTAAACAACATAAAAAACATCCCATAATATAAATAAGTTGTCACCTTCCACATTCAAAGTCACTTAAATCCTCTTTCTTCCCTATTTTGATGCTCAGTTTGACCAGCAGCAGATCGTCTTGACCATGTCTACATGTTTAAATACTTTGAGTTGCTGCCATGTGATTGGCTGATTAGAAATTTGCGTTAACAAGCAGTTGGACGGTGTACCTAATAAAGTGGCCAGTGAGTGTATGTCATATAATAAATGTTGTCAATAAAAAACTTTTATGTCTTTAATTTGTCTCGTGTTATTATTTTGTTCAATATATCTCAATGCAACATTCATAACTTTAGAAACACAACGTTTTTCAATCTGAAATGTTTTAAAGAGCTTTTTAGCATTTAATGTTTGCATTCAATGACAATGACTTTCTTTGCGTTGATAAAAATGTTTTACGTCTTATGTGTATTTACTATACTCTTCTTTGGCGACATCTAACGGTCTAAATTAGACAATGACCAACGCCATTCATTCATTAATACCGTAAATCCTTTATGACACACGCAGATTCCTCAAACAGACCATCTGTCCACTTCTGGGTCCCAGTCATTGCTCATTTGACCGTGGTCCAGGGACATTAGAAACTGTATCAAAACTGACACAAAGCCAAAATAGTCAAACAATCGCATGCAATTCGCTTGTAATATTTCTGCGGATGTTTTTCTTTGTACCACTACCAACAATGCAAACCGCATCAATCCCCCCTGCGCTGGAGACTGAAGCGCCACAAACACCGCTAATTTATAAAAGGGAGTAAATGACAAGGACGGGTAGGAGGGAGAAAGGGGAGGGGAATTGACATTAAAGAAACACTACACAAGGAAACTACACTGCACACACACACACGCCTTCATTTTATGTTTTTGAATAACAGCCTGGCGGAGAGTGTCTGTCCGCACTGAAGTGTTTTATTAGCACGGCGGAACAGAAGTGACGGAAAGAAACATCAGCTCAGTCTGTGGAGCAGTTTCAGCTCAAAGCGCTTTCCGACGATTATCGCGAAATGGGTGAGAATGAAAGAAATTAGTGATTTCTTTAATAAGCGGGAGAAATTAATAAATGCTAGGCCGCGAGGTTGCGGAGAGGAGCAAGAACAAAACAGGCGAAGGACGAGCCGTTTGTCGACACGTTATCAGAGCGGTTTTGTTTTAATTTCCGACTGAAAGCCCCTCAGATTGAGATGGCAGATGACGCTCGCTGATTCCCTGATGTGCGCTTGCCTTGTGTTGACCATTTTTTGTCCCACAATAAAAGCCATGTTTGCCCACAAGAGAGTTCACTCTTGAGTTTAGACTTTTATCATTTTTTATAACCTACAAGTTTGTTGGATTTCGTTTACAAATAGTTTGAACTCGGTAAAATGTTCTGTTCGTTTTTTTTTTTTTTGTATAAATAATTCTGCTTAATGTGCTTGTATACATATAAAATTGGTACAAAATTTACTTATGTTTTAATGCAATATCAGCAGCATTGGCTATATTCATGGTAATAAATTGGTTATTTAATATTTAATTTACATTCATAGCCAGGGCCAGATTTAGTGATTTTGGGGGCCCTGCCATAAGCAATAACAGTCAAGGGGCCCGAAAAGTTCCAAAATGCACCTTTTGTACTTTAATTTTATTGTTATTTAGCTGTTTTTCTTATATCATTTAATCTTGTTTTCTACATTTTATCTTAATGCAAAATAATAACATGAAACACCTTGTAAAACTTTTGAGATGATTTGTTTTCTTTAGATGAATTCACAACTAGACATAAATGAACTATTTCATTTTTAAAACTAAATCTATACTGATTTGACTGCTAGACTGCTCCATGATTGAAGGTGGGGGACACATTTGCGCAGATGTAATATTTCATTTAATTAGAGTCATTTTATTTAGAGTATCTACCGATACAGAAACCCGATCCGATACTTTTATAATAGTTAAAGGCTTAGTAAAGACAAGGGAGCCATGGACAAACTCCATATGTCTGTGGTGAACGAAATATGGGGTACAACTTATAAAAAGCCAAGCAGTTTGTCATAAATATTCCTAAAAATGCTGGCAGAGCTTTATTTGTAATAGTGGCAAGACGGCATCTCAAATTGAGGTTCAATGTTTGTTTTTGAGGTGTCTTTATCAGGTTTGTAGTGTTAAATGTAGCCTTTTCCCTTCCACCTCAACCTTTGCAATGCCAAGTTTGCATATCTCACAAGATTGCCAATGGCAAAGTTGTCATCAACTTGATAATACCTCCAGACCGCAGCTGCTTTCGTGTTCTTCTGTGTGAAGTCAAGAAAGAGGTCTAACTCTGTGCCACCGCATGTCTATAGATGTGTTTAAAAAACAAAGAGGATATATATACGTACATATCCGAGTCCTGATCGGGAGGCAACGACCGATTTCCATGGAGTCTGAAACGGCCCGATTTCCGATCACGTGATCTGGACCTGGACCACCTGGATCTGGACATCCCTAGTAATATTACATTCAAATTAAAATTTTAGACCCTCCGTTACAAAATATGATAGAATAAATATGATAAAAAATACTATATAATTTATAGTATCATTTATACATCTAGGTATTTATTTGGAGGCCCTCAAATTTCCAGGGGCCCCAAGCGACCGCTTACCTTGCTTATTGGTTAAATCTGCCCCTGGTCATAGCTGTTTCTTAACAAACATGCATTATACAAAAACATTAAACATTTAATCAAGAAAGGAAAAGATCGTACGCAAAATGCTTGTTCTTGCCTTCATTAATTGGGTATTTGTGTCAGGCTCAGAGCCGCCCTCATCTCCTCAGGTGGTGGAGGAAGGAGCAGATGAGGAGGATGAGGAGCTGAGTGGGGCTGAAGATGCAGACCTGAGATCCTCCTCTGGAAGAGGTTCACTTCTGACCAGGAGAGGCATCACTTTAAGAGTCCTGCTGAAGGATGGTCTTGTGGAGCCTGGAGATGGAGTTCTGTCCATACACTACCTGGTACTGTACAGAATTTACTTACCTAGAGCTGTTACTATATTGTTTTAGAAATAGACAGTGTATATTAAAAAGTCGCATCTGCATCAAATACAAAGTGATTTAATATAGATAGAAAGCATATTGAATGCAAGGAAGGCTTGTTAAGAGATGAAAAAATGCATGAAATGAAAATTCCGTCATCAATTACTCTTCCTATACTTGTTCCAAACAAGTCTGAATCTCTTTTTTTCTGTTGAACACAAAAGAAGATATTTTGAAGAAAGCTGGAAACCTGGAACCATTGACTTCCATTTGTTATGTGTATTTGTTTCTCCTACTTTACAAGTCAATGGTTAGAAATATTCAGCTTTCTTCAAAATATCTTCTTTTGTGTTAAACAGAGAATAGAAATGCAAAGATTTATAACCACTTGAGGATTAATAAATAGTGAGTAAATCTTTTAATGTCATGTAATAATATATATAATGTAATATACAGTTGAAGTCAGAATTATTAGCCCCCTGTTTATTTCCCCCCCCCCCAATTTTTGTTAACGGAGAGGATTTTTCAGCACATTTCCAATCATAATAGTTTTAATAACTCATTTCTAATAACTGGTTTATTTTATTTTTGCACTGATGGCAGTAAATAATATTTGACTAGATATTAATTATACAATTACACTGGCTTCCTATTAAATCACAGATTGATTTTAAGACCTTGATTTTAACTTTAAAAGCAGTGCATCGACTAGCACCCGGTTACATCTGTGACCTGGTGACTCTCGCCACCCCAGCCCGCAGTCTTCGTTCTGCATCAGGACTTACCCTATATCAGCCACGCTGTAAACTTAAGACCATGGGTGGGAGGGCTTTTTCATACAGTGCGCCTAAGCTGTAGAATGCACTCCCCATCAGCATTAGGAATGCTACCTCTCAGGACTGTTTTAAGAAACTTCTTAAGACTCACCTTTTTAGCATTGCTTTTAACTTAGGATGATCATTTTGTTAATTTTTTATTTTATCTTATGGTTCATATTTTTATTGTTTTATTGTTGTGCTGTTTTGCTTGACTTGTATTGCTAGTATTTTTGCTTTGTAGTGCTTTGAGTTTAAGAAAAGCGCATTACTAATAAAATTTATCATTATTATTATATTTTTCAAGATACTTCTATACAGCTTAAAGTGAGATTTAAAGGCTTAACTAGGTTAATTAGGTTACCCTAGGCAGGTTAGGGTAATTAGGCAAGTTATTGTACAATGATGGTTTGTTCTGTACACTATCAAAAAATATATAGCTTAAAGAGGCTAATCATTTTGACCTTAAAATTGTTCTTAAATTAAAAACTGCTTGAATTTTAGCTGGAATAAAACACGCCTAGCTGTTAAACATCACTTTGAAAATATTTGAAAAAAAAAAAAAAAAAAAAATTCAAAGGGGTGCTAATAATTCTGACTTCAACTGTGTATATATATATATATATATATATATATATATATATATATATATATATATATATATATATATATATAGGCAGGTGTATATTTTAAAGTATAAAGTATAAAAGATAAAGATTTATTAAAATGTAATTTGAGAAAAATAATTATAATAATAGCAGGTCAGAATATTTAATTAAAATACCAATTATTCTGACCCGCTCTAATTAATATTTGCAATAATATTAAATACATTAAATGTCAGCGTTTTAAATATTAGCATGGCGCTTCTTCACTCAAAATAAGTTCTATTTTGGGAGTTAGTGACATCTTAAAAAAAACAAAAAACAAAAACATGATCTAGCAGAATGCCCTATCCTTTATGTTTATATTTAGTGAGCTTTCATGGACTCTGTTTGTCTCTCCTCAGGGTAAAAAGTTTGTTGGAGATCTTCTGAATGATGGGAAGATTCGTTGGGTGGAGACCGGGCAGATCTTTAACTCTCCAAGCGCGTGGGCCACACACTGTAAACGCCTGGTGAACCCGGCCAAAAAATCTGGCTGTGGCTGGGCATCGGTGCGATACCGGGGACAGAAACTGGTCCAGTACAAAACCACCTGGCTACACAAATACCAGCCCAGTGCTGACATGGTGAGCAATAAAGGGAAAATTAATTAAGGAATATTATCTACCTGTTCCAAACCAAGAGTTTATTTCTTCTATTAAACAAAAAACAAGATATATTGAATAATATTGGAAATAAAAATAGCCATTGACTTCTATATTATTTTCTGTTCCTACTAAAGTCAATAGCTGCTTTTTTTTAACATTCTTCAGAATATTTTGTTTTGTGTCCAACAGAAGAAACGTATAAAAGTTAAACCCAAACCTTATTAGTAAATGAGAAGGTAATGAACGAGTTATTTATTATAGCCAATCATTATGCAGTCTGCAATTTGTGTTCTGTAAATGTCAGAGTCTAATAAGTGAAGGAGAAGATGATGAGATGGGAGATGATGATGAAGAGGAAGGGAAAACGACCATTCCAGTAGAGGACAAGAATAAAAAGTCCAAACCTGAGCTGCACGGTATGATGTTGTCTTCTACAATACATAAAAGCACCTTCTCTCTTCACAAGTACTCAAACGGAATAAGTCATTATCAGCATCCTTCAGTTTTGTTGTGGTAATGATATCTTGGCCTATATTTCTAGCTCCAGCCAAGCATATATTATTTTCTTTTTTGTGTTTTGGCTCAGAGATTGGCCTGACGCAGAGAAGAGACAGAGAGAGAATTCCAGTCAGGTACTGCACTCTTGGCACCAGAGATGCCGCAAGGTAATTATTGTCTCATTATCAAGCATCAAAACAATAAAATGTTAATATGGCTTCACTTAGAATGTGTCAATTAAAATGGGTCCTGTTTGACATACACAAACACACACACACATATACACGCAAGCACACAGTTGAAGTCAGAATAATTAGGCCCCCCTTTGAATTTTTTTTTATATATTTCCCAAATGATGTTTAATAGAGCAAAGAATTTTTAATAGTATGTCTGATATTTTCTTTTCTTTTGGAGAAATTCTTATTTGTTACAGATATATATACATATACACACACACACACACACACACACACACACACACACACACACACACACACACACACACACACACACACACACACACACACACACAGTATACACATACTTTAAACACACACACACATACATACATACATACGATTTACTGAAGACATCCACTAAAACAAGCTTATGTACTACAAAATCATTGTAAGGGATATATAGAATAATTGTTACTTTCATTTAGTAGAGATTTTTCACTTTTGAATGTTTAAAAATATTAAATTTGAAATCATTTTAATTACAAGTACAAGCCAGACCATTTTATGTTCAGAAAACTAGTGTGGAAAAGTACACATTTCATTTTTGTTTAATTAATGTTTTATGCAATCTCTTTTGTAATTTAACTTGATAAAGGACACCAAAACAGGCAACTTGTGTTTGACTTCTACATAAACATAAATTAAAAATATAATAAATACACACATTTATGTTGTTGGAATTTACTGATTACAGATGAGAAAATAGTAAATGTGCCAGGAAAAATAAGCTAAATAGAAATGGCTGTAGCATGCTGTGAAAAAAATGCTCACTGGCATTGTTTTTTAATAGTTTGGTCTCTGTACGATTTGAAATACAAATGACAGTTTTCCCTCCAAACAAATATCTATGAAAAAGCTTTCAATAATAAATAATAATAATTTACAATATGTTTTTTACTGTACTTTTCTACTGTATCAAACTGATGCCGTTTTTAGTGACCCTAAAAACTTCCTTCAAAATATTACAACTTCCTACCCATCTAACTTTTTTAAACTGTAATTATACCTGAGAGTTCCTCTGTTTGTCTTCACAGGGATCCTCACACCCTTGTCGAACTGTCTGCCTTTTCAGCAATCAACCGCTTCCAGCCTTTTAATGTAGCCGTTTCCAGCAATGTTCTGCTTCTAATGGTATGAAGTGCTCATGGAATTATTCATAACATCAAAAGTAAAGTCAGTAATCGGATTAGTTGCAACAGTTGAAGCAAATGAAAACCATTTTTCCCACCTCTATTGATAGGATTTCCACTGTCACCTGACCTCAAGTGAGGTGGTGGGGTATTTAGGAGGTCGTTGGGACACAAACACACAATGTAAGTCTAATGATTTTTCTGACTACAAGACAAAATAAAAGTCATAAACACTCAAATTTATGTTACATTCATCAGTGCTTACAGTCCTGCGCGCATTTCCATGCCGCACACGATTGGCTGATAAAGATGCCGCTCCAGCTGTCGAAGAAGAGGTTGGTCACCAAAAAAATATTGGTTTTCCTATAAAACATAGTGCTACATTCTCAGAATTGTACCTTTTAACTGTGTTGCAGATTTGTCAGAATCTCTTCATGCGTGGCCTGTCATTGGTGGGATGGTATCACAGTCACCCACGAGGCCCCGCCCTTCCGTCTCTACAGGACATTGATTCGCAGATGGATCACCAGCTCCGCCTACAAGGCAGCAGTAACGGTTTCCAGCCCTGTCTAGGGATTATCTGTGGTGTGTGATGTAATTCACATATACTGTGCAAAGCCACTTATATTGAGTGATCTGGGTTAAGTTTTTTGGTTTCACCACTTATAGGACCCTATTACCATGGTAACCAAGGTGTGGCCTCCACAATCACCCCATTCTGGGTAGTGCCTCCTCCTGAGGTATTGGTTCATTTGATGAAACTCTGTTTGCTATTTATTTTAATCTATCATCTCATATCTACTTTCTCTTGCGTTTCAGCAACGACCGAATGATCACGGGATCCCAGTGGCGGTAGAGGTCACATATGTGCAGGACAACTTCCTCACTACAGACGTGCTCAACGAGATGGTATGATATTACATTATGCAACAGTGCATAAACAGGGATTTTTATCTCTTATAAATAGTTGTTTTTGAAGCCGATCACTAAATGGTTATCTTTTCAGTTTCCTGCAGCTATAGATAACACCTCACTCTACAGTAGATTGGATTAAAGCAATTGCTAAACTACATCCTGTAGAATTAATTAGCATGATATAGCGAGTCTTTTGAAAAGCCTAGAGTGATACAAATCTATTTTTATATCTATCTCCCTTTGTAGATGCTGTTGGTGGAGTTTTATCGGTCTGCTCCTGACCTGGTGCAGTTCAGTCAGATGTGGAGCCCTAATACCTCAATACTCGACAAAATCAAGGTGTGATGTAATTTCTGTCATTTATACATACACAGATGTAACACATTCAATTATATTTATAATTGCATCATTGAGATTTTTCTTAAAGGCAAAGTTACAAAACAAACTCAATGGCTCCTGATGAAACATAGAGGACTTATAAAGTGAATATACGGCCTCTGCAAAAAGCCCAGAGCAAGTTTGACAGTTTGCTAAAGCTGAAGCTAAAGGGACACACCAGCTGAAGGTATAGCCTTCAGTGACCGTCTGTCAGGGTAGTTTGTTTGTTGTTTTTTTTTTACACGTTGGAGAGAGTTCAGCATGTAGAATTGGTGTCAATTGTCTTTGAGAGCGAGCGCTCTGATCGGCTGTTCAGCTACAAATCAGAGCACAAGAAAAGAAACTTCGCCAAGTCATGAGTAAAAACAAACATCTGTCATTCCATAGCATTTCTTAGATATATGCTAATCCACGGCTTGTTTACCAAGTCGATGCAAGAGTGCTACTGCGGTGCCTCGATCAAACGTATATTGTGGATAGATGCTGTTATTATATTTGTAGAAATAATTGGAGTATATTTTTCTGATTTATTTTCCTGCTTGTTGTTTCTTTGGTACTTTTGGGATTTTTGTTTGTCTTGCACTTGTATATACCTTCACCGTGGATGGATTTTATGGCACTGTAAATATACCACCTTTCATGACAATGCTTTGCGAGTAAGCAATCCATTTTTCATTCCTAACGAACACACATTTCTTCCCTTGAAGATGAGTTGGTGGGCTCATTTTCATCACATTTGGATTAAAGCAATTGCTAAACTACATAGATAGCATAGATATGGATTATCCGATTCAGACATATTTACGCAAGCGAATCCCTCTGTGTTGAGGAAGCTTTTACAAGTTCCAGTTTACATTTATGGAATGACAATTCAGGCTAAAACCATCTGCGGGTATGCCGAGGTACATCTTTTCACACGGGTGCAAGAACGCCCATTTTTGCATCAGTTGGCTTTTGTCCGTTTGGTGTGTTCACTAGGGTTGGGTACCGAAACCCGTACCTATGTAACCGGATCAGCATATCAATGTAACCGAATTAGCATATGAATTTCAGTGCTTAATTTTGGTGCCACTGGTGCTGTGACAAGCACGTAATGCAAATCTTGCATTCATGCTAACAAACAAATGATCAAATCAAATATATCCATGCATTTCAAATATATAAATATGAATTGATGTATACTTTAAACTTTAATTATATTGTTCAATTAAATGATTAAGGATGTTACCGTGGCCCAGTGGGTAGCATGATCACCTCACAGCAAGAAGGTCACTGATTTGAGCCCCGCCTGGGTCGATTGGCAGTTCTGTGTGGAGTTTGCATGTTCTCCCCATGTTCATGTGGGTTTCCTCTGGGTGCTGCGGTTTCCCCCACAGTCCAGGCACCACTTTGGCACCAGTACCGTTTTAAAAGTATCGATTTAGCATCGGTATCAAAATAATCTCAAACGATACCCAACCCTAATGTTCACAAAGCTGTTAAATCTAGATGGAGCCAGCGCAAGGGGACAACACAGTCCCTTTTCATTGCCACTACTAGTTCTTTGATATCAGTTTGGTGTGTCCTGAGCCTGAGGTTTAAAGGTAATAACACAGTAAATAATATTCAGCTTTATGCAAAGACCAATTGTTTTAAAAAAATAAACACTGCTCATATATGATAGAAATCAATTAACAGTATTTGTTTCTTTGTGTTTAAAGCTATGCCACCTTCTATGGCTATTTTCATAACGATATATTGGTAACATAGATTACAGTATATAAAGGTTTCAATTAAATTACTTTTAATTAATATGCTTTTACAAAATTTGTAAAAAGCATGTATATTAAGCTTGGACAGAAAGAACAGCTTGTCTTCTCTCCTCCTCAGGCTTCTCTGAGTGGCCACGCACCCAAAGACCAGGCGTACGCACAGATCCTGGAGCATGTGTACAACCAACTGCGCAACACTCAGTGACCCGAGTGCTTTATGTCTGTGCAATGTGCATTAGTGTTAAGCTGTAGAACTGTTGACTTGGGACCTCCTGCCCTGTGCATTACCATCTGTGCACTGTTATACTGTATATGAAATGCCTTCGTGGAGGATATATCATATATGCTTCCGTCCAAACTGTTGCCTTTAGGACTGTTAGGTCTGTATCACTGGCTGTGGTTTACGCGATTCTGCCATATCTGTGCTGTGAAATTTGTCTTCCTCTGTGGTAGAAATGTCTCGGTGGGTAGTTACGAAAGAGAAGACGGGTAACTTGTGATCTCTTTTGGCTAGTATTTATGCGTTCGTGTGATTAGATTTGTGCCAATATGGGATCGATGCCTTTTTTTCCCTGCTGAATACCTTAAAATATACACTGGAACAAGAAACAAAATGTGCGTTTGCTTCCTGCAACAATGTTTTTTCTAACTGTATAATTAAAAAACTGTTCATACTCTTACAAGTGAAAGAGACGGAGTACTTTCTTTGAATTTATTTACTTAAAGACGAGTGGACAATAAGATACAAATATTTAGGGTTCGGAATATTTAAGAATAACAATATAATGCAGTTAAATCCGAGACATACAGGAGGAGACTTTAAAACTACAACATACATCAGCCTGCTATTAAGCTAACATGCACAAATCATTAATAAAAAAGGTTGAATGCTTTTGTATGCATATAAAAAAAGAACATAATACTAAAAAGAGCACAACCAGAATGATTTAATTTCATAAAACCATGCCGGTGCCCTCATTCGATTAGACAGAAATAACCCATTTGCTGTTTTCTTAAACTTGTAGTGTTGCAAAGGCACATTTGTACACATGCTTGTACATCTGGTCGCAGCTCATGCCAAATGCTGAAACCAACAAGCCCTTTGTAAATAAAGGAGAAAAAAAACTACATATTAGCACAGAAATCATAATTAATATTTTGTTTGGTGTTCTAGATCCATTCTTGCCATCAAAAAGGCACTAAAAGTCTCTTTTTCACATTGAAATAGTGACCACCGCCTGTCTGCATCAGTACATCTACAACAGTCCGAGAAAAGAAAAGACACAGGTGCACTGTGTGCAGACAGGATTTGAGGTCAGGGTGGAGGTCAGATGTGAGGGTGCTCAGAACCGCAATTGATGGTGTGTAAGTCCATGAATTTATGGAGTGCGATGGTACAGTATTTGAAACAAACTGATCTATGGAACACTGAGTTATGAAGAAACTACATCTTCAACCACTTTAAAGCTCTAAAAATACATTACAAAGGGAAAGAGTAAGAGATGTAGCACCATCCCTACATTTCTGGAAGAATTCCTCTTCAATATCAAACACTTTGTGTAAATCAGACTTTTTGAAATCCCCCCTAAACGCCTAGATGTACACACCTGAAATAATGGGACACTGCCAGCAGCATCAGATGAATAGACTACCGTAAACTGACATCAAGAGGAGAAAGAGAGAGGAAGACTCTATAATTCAGTCTGCCGCGAGAAGACCAACGAGCTATTTGGCTGTGTTTCCTTCAGAAAACAGTATGTAAGTTGTTTATATCTGCTGCCCTTAGTGGGTTGAAAGTTGCAAGGGGGACAAAAAGTACGGCTGTAGTGCAGTAAAACCTATCTATCCGACTAAACACATCCCTTTAGTGTTTTAGCTCAGCTTTACAACCAGATCCAAGGCGCAGTTGAGCATCTAATTTTTTTTTTCTTGTAAAAAATATACATTAAAAATGATTAGATGACAAAGAAACTGTAGAAAAACGTTAAAATGACGGAGCGTACAAAGGGACTAAATCCCATGGCTCAGGATTGCTGCAAATTGGGACACTTTGCACACACATCCCTGCAGTGCTAACACAGACACAAGGTGGTTTCTCCTTAAACTGAGGCAGGTCAATGTCGCATCCTGACCAGCAGGGGGCAGTAAGGGGAGCAGTTGAGTCAAAATGCAACTTTTCACAATCCAATAATTGAGAATTTATACTACGATGATTAAGACTAGCCTGTCTACTCTTTAAACGTGGAATAATTTGATCATGATCTACAATAACTTTTTTTTTTTCAGCAGCAAAAACAGTACAAGGCATTATCAAAAGATGAAGCGAGTTAGTGTGTCTAAAAATGTAGCTTAAGGACCAAGTTGTACCGTCCGTACATCAGTCAACCGGTCAGTCAGTCAGTCCTGGAATGTGAAAGGTCGTCATTTCCCAAAGTTCCCTCCTTCGAAAATAAATCAATGTGTAAAAAGTGCCAGAGTACAGGTACATTTGGATCAACGGCAACAATGTGGTGAGGATGAAGACCAAGATGACTTCAACAGGCTCCTTTCTCCCTACCTCACTTCCCTCCAGCTTTCTCCTATTCACTTTTTATTGCTCTTTCTCTCTCTCTCCCTCTGTTCTTCATCGGAGCCCTCTTAGTGTGGCAGAGGAACAATCACCTCCACGTAGTTGAGAGGGAAGAATCCTGATTGGCCACGCAGCATGCCTTCATACCAGTTTTCATCGATCTGATTGGTCAGAGTGATGATGTCACCCTCGTGGAAGCCCAGCTCGCCTTCGTTCTCCGGCTCGAAGTCATAGAGAGCCTTACAGCATGCCTGCTCTGCTGCTGAGTAGAGATATAGAGGAGAAATTATGAGAAAGAGATAGTGAGGAGAGATTTGGGGAACAAGGGATGTTAGTATACATAATATTTCAAAAGACAAAATAACATTACTAAAATTTTGGTCCAGGGTGTATTTTTAAGGCTTGGTTGTGTTTCTAAGATGCAAAGCAATGAGTGCTCATGCTTTATTTGTAAAAAAAAAAAAAAAAAAAAACATTATTTTTTCATTTATCTTTAAATATACTGTATCTCTGCAAATATGAAAATGACTGTCATATTTCCTAGTTCCTCAGAAAGGCCTGCTCTCAAGAGGCTCTGATTGGTCAGCAAACATAATTTGCTGTGATTCACAGATCAGTTCCCTGTCAGCAGGAAAAACGTCACGCACCAACAAGAGTAGCTGTATCAGTGTGAGCCTAAATCTGACAGAAAATAAAAAAGGACACAGCTGAACTTCATGCCTGCTCTCTAAAATAAAATCTTAGTGTCTTTCATATATATTGGGGTTATAAGCATGTGTAAGTAATATAAAACGTTCACATATACTTTGCAAGTTAATTATTTGAGATGTAGAAGAGACACTGCACATGCTGCTAAAGATTGTGGGTGTTTGTAGCGGTTTGACTGATAAATATTCATTTGTAGCTAAATTGTAACAGTGCCAAACAGCATTGTTCACATCCTTGCTACAACATACCGTTAACGCTAGACACTATGCATGTGACAGATCAATTTTAACAAATAAAAACACTTGCAGGTTGTGGTTCACAATCCACAGCTTCGTCTATTATACTGCTTCTCTTTGAGAAGTTTTAACTGAATCCAGCACTGAACTGAGAGAGACTCTGGAAGCTGTCCTTTGTCAAATGTTAGCTGTATATATATTTTATTATTCTCTAGAACATAATTAAAACTAAATCACTTCTCTCTTTCTGTCGTGTCCTTTGGAAATAGCAGCGTTTGGCAGCATTTTAGCTTTCTTTGCTATAACATTACAGCCCCTCTGGCCACACCCCTTCACTGATCGGGGTGTATGGGTGTAATCTGAAGGGTTTATAATCTCATTAACCCAGATGTATTTGTTGTAGTCCCCAAACTTCATTCTCTGTCGACTTTGCTAAGCTAACTCTGTAAAAGCCAGTGTCTCTTTTTGCATTGAACTTTGAGCGTATTACACTCTGAAATGTTGTTTATGTTCACACAGCTGCATTACACATCAACTAAAGTTTAAAATATGATATTGTAGTGGACCACCCCTTTAAACCAATATCTGACTACACATAATGAGACAAGGTGTACTCTAAAATGTCACAATCAGTTGGTGTACACACCCAAAATTAATTTTAGGGAATATGCACAGTTCGAATGAAAAATATTTTTATTACAGTTTCGAAAAGCCATAAAAAAAAAACTTCACAGTAAGGTTTTGAAAAACGTTACATTTACTGTTACGTAAATATATAAACAGCCAGCAATTGAAATAAAGCTGAAATCAAATGTATATATTAGATGAAAAACCTAAAAACTCTAAAATAATTAAAACGATGCATTACTAACTAACTAAAGTAAACTATTAAAATACAATAATTATAGTAAAAATAATAAATAAATTACTAAAAATCACTAAGAATAATTAATAAAAAATTAAAAAGAACAACATCACTCAAACAAAAAATACTTCAAAAATAAAATACAACTTAATTTAAAATAAACATCACTAATTTAAACAAAAACAACATCTTGATTTATAGCTGTAAAGCAGAGCTTCCTGCCAATAAAACCTTTCACAGGCCAATCTGTCAAACTAAAGTCATGCCCCTGGGTGAGCAGTGCCATAAACGTGTTAGTGTTTAACACACATTTTTAATCCCACCACAATAGCCTGGCTTAAGACTCAGGTATACTTCTTTTTTCCGCATTCCACTCCATCTCTCACACAACCATGTTTGCACAGCTTTCACTCATTTTACTACTCACAGATGTGCAGTACCACTGTGAGGACTGTTCACACAGTCAAACCAGTCTGTATGTGCATGGTGTGCACAGAAAACATGGAAAGACGTGGAATACAGGCAGCTGAAGTATACACTGGGCTTTACTTTGAGGCACTCTGTGTTAGTAAGAAGTCAGGTGCAAAAGCCTGGGTCACGTGACAGAAGACCTCCAGTTTCAGTTTTTAGCAGGGATTCACACTGTTAGGTGGAGCAACACTCCGTGCTTTAGGCCAACAAACATGCACTCTTTTGTACATACACACAGACACAATGATCCTCACACAGTCTTCCTCTCACACAGAGATGAGATGAATTTCCATGTTTCATACCAATACACCAAACACTCGTTCCAAATGATATTTATGGGAAGTATCTCAAGTAAACGACTGATGAACTGATAGTCAGGCTTATGACGGTATAAAATGTTTTTGCTATGATTAATTGGTGAAGCTTTTATAACGCTATATGGTACATTATACATTATATTACATATGGTATATTACCATGATTTTGAACCAAGCTGCAAAAAGGTTACTTTAACAGGTATAATAACATACTTTTATTGCTTTACTGTATATACATGTTTACAGTAAACAAATTAAATAAATTGCAAAAGGATTATAAAGTACAGTAGGCAACACTTATAATAAAGTCTCATTAGTAAATGTTAGTGAATGGATTCAAACTGAACAGTAAGAAGAGACAGATTTGTTAGCGTTACTATGCTATTATTAGTTTAAAAATACAACCGAGTTGTATTACTTATTAACTACATTTAATATAAAGATTACGACTATGTAGTGTCATTAGGCATTACCTAAGAAATGAACGTCACCTAAAATTAATAAAAGCTTTTGTAGCGTTCTT